AACTTTAGAGAGAGTGAAGAGTTACTAAATTTGTTTATACTTGTAATGAAGGTTGGAAGTATATACACTTCTATATATATTTCTTTTCCTTTATTATATTCTTACTTTTCTTTTTCTTCTCTTTTTTATTTCTTTTTCCTTGTATTTTTTCTCCTTTCTATTCTCTTTTCTTTCTTTAAGTTTAGTTTGTATTAGATTTTACTATTATAATAAAAATTCTTAATAAAAATTATATATAAGAAAAGACATGGGTACTTTTAAAAGGTTCAGACAGGTCCTATGACTGCTCCCTGAAGACTTGACCCTTTTTGAATCAAATCCAGAATGCAGCCCAACCCTAACATGTAACACCAGTGAGATCATATTAAACCCCTGAAATGGGTGGTCAAAACCTAGGTGTACTATTACCTCATGAACATTAATGTGACTTTAAATTGACATGAATCTGCATACTGAAAATGATTTGGAAACTGGGCTTATGTGAGTAGAGTACTTCCCTGATTTTCATTAAGGCAGCCAAATCTTTTTCAATCACATGAACTCCTTAAAGCAGTGGAAACTTTTTTTCAGGCTTGTGCTTTGCACCATTTGATACTTCAGCAAGATCCAAAGACTTCCTAATAATTTCTGAAGCATGCACAGCCCTACAAGAGGCATCTAATGAAGCTGTAAAGTAGGCAGTCCTAAGGATGCATGTTTGAATATTTTACTGACATTCTTTGAAGAAAAAGTTTTCTTTTTTAAAAAAGTGTCCTTCCCTCTTATCAAAACAAAGAAAAGCTCTTCAGTTTCTTTTTATTGGCTCAGAATTAAGATTCAGTAAAATTTCAACACGTATACTTTGGAATTAAAATAAGGAGCAGATCCCAAATTTGTATTCAGTTCAACACTCAAGTGATTTTTTTTTTCTTTCCATCCCTTCTTCACTGGACTCCTTTTATGTTGCCCTTCATATTTTCTTTAATACCTTTTCGCAAGCCCTAATTCAGCTCAGCTCACAGTGAGGTGGGTGATCACAGTGATGACTAACCATGTATCATTCTTTGCTATAGAGATTGGGGTTGAACTCACAATTCAGACTTGGCTTGTGAGAGTGTGTGTTCATTCCTATCTTATTCAAGTTTTCCTAAAGCTGCCTTCTCCATTCTCATACCACCAGACATGTTGGGACTGATGCTCCACAGTTCTAGAATCAAGAAGCCCAACATATTTGATGGGTGTCAAGTTGGGAAAAACTGGATTAAAGATACAGAACAAAAAGAAGCAGCAAATCATAACTAGATGGTAATAAAAGCATTTCTTACCGCACACACTCTGCCCACTCTGGAATAGAGAGCATGAGCACCTGTTTCGGCCTCTAAAGCTTTCTCAGTAAAGAAGAAATACACCTTGTTGTCTTCCCGGTCTTCATTGTCAGGAATCATGTAGGAACTAACAAATTTAGGTTCTTAAAGAGACAGTGAGATACAAGGTAGATGAAATTGTTTAATTCCAATTGTAATATACAATATATGAGCAACATATAAACACTGTGACAGCCTCATAACCACTTAATATAACCAAAAATCAGTTCCAAATTAAATTTCAGTTAAAATACAAGTTCAACAAGCTACACATGCAAACTTAGCAAGTAGTGTTGTTTTACTGTAGGGTCTTTGTCTGCCAAGAGGAGCTACATATAATATTCATCTAATTAATTATGAATTAATTAATTCATCTAAATAATTACCTAATTATGGGTAATGTCCTAATGAGATACATTAGTAGCTTGCTACAAGTATCTCTACAGAATTTACAATAGACAAAACATGGGTCAATGATTTAATATTCCCAGACTGAGAGGGGCAAATTTTTTTCTGCATAAGAGCTTTTCTGGAATCTTTGTTCCAGGTTAGCTAATGGCAAAATGTCAAACAGCAATAATATAAAGACCCCCTATAAATTCTAAGCTATACAAGATACAGATCTCACTATGTCCCAATGGTATTCTGGGTCATTTTGCTATATCCAAGTTGCAGTTCTACATTAGAGACTAACTTTAAGTATAAATCTGTTGTTTTAAACTTGGTTGTTTTTTATTATGTTTTAATTTTGTTTAGCCACCCAGAGTCACACATATGAGATAGGTGGCCATGTAAATTTATGAAATAAATAAATACATTTCTAATAGATACAGGTCTAATAAAGAACAAGATAACTTGTTATTTATTAGACCTGTATCTATTGGAAAATAGAAAAGTTCTCTAGAAGGACAAAAAGGCAAAAAAATATTATTTAAAAAAACCCTGTTTTGTGAGTTTTGTGAATCAGTTTCAAATGCATGGATAATATCAGCTTTCAGAATATTTGTATAGCTCCAACTTATATAGAAATGGGTTTTTTCATACACACACACACACACACACATAATATTTTCCTATCATGCTGTCATAATTGTTCATTTATTTTAATTATATTAATCTCAAACCTGCCATCGAGCTGATAGAACCATTTGCTTAGCTCTGTGTAAATCCATAATTAAAGACACAGGGTTGTATACATTTGATTCTGGACTAAGGACTAGATGCTATGTTAATATAAGGATGTCCAGATTGACAGCATTTGTTACTTTTATTATTAAATTAAAACCACATGAAACCTTTATTTTATCATGATAAACCAAATGCAGATTTGATGCTTAGGAACCCTTTGAATCAATTCCATTCATCCAGAAATTACCCAATGACAACCCAGTGATTGTCATTCTTGTTAGCACTTTTTGTGCCAATATGGGATATGAAGGATATTTGTTCTGAACAATATCAAGAGCAATTCAAGAACAACTTCAAGAGCAGAACTTTGCAAATTGTCCTAATTACAAAAATGAAACCTTGAATATTTCAGGAGCATTCTGAACTCGGAACAACTTTTTTGAGCTCAAAAACACTCTGAAACATTTAAAATGGCCAAGTTTGAACTCAAACTAGAAAGTTTAGTTAAGTTTCTTGGTCAACACAATTTGAAATGAAATTTTGCACACCCCAGTTCTCTGTGTCTACTTCCACAGAAGAACTGATAAGCTTGCCATTTCTGCTTTAGCTTTTCACTGCCTTTCTCCTGAGTCCTTTCTGGTCTCTGTGGACTTTAATGCCATTATCTTTCTTCTGCACTCCTGCCCTTCTCCTTTTTCACCACTTTTTCTCAGGTCTCCCTCCATTCTGTTCATTTTGTAATGCCCAGCATGTGTTTGTAATGCCCAGTTGCCTGGGAATTAAAGGTGTGCGAAATTTTCCAAAATCAAGACACCCCATTTCAATCCTGCAAGAATGTGTCATGGGTGAATCAACAAACCTGCATTCAAAATACAAGCTTTGAAAAACATCAGAACAGCCTATTTTGGATATGAAACAATTATTGTGAGCTCTAAGACAGTGCTTCAGATTCAAAGCTCTTTTGTTCTTATGGTGTGTGTGCCCTCATGCATTCTTCTGCTACAGAACTAGCTCATATTGCAGGAAAGAATTTTTGGCTATATGAACTATCACAGTTGACCAAGTGCAAAACGTAACTTCTATTTGCATTGCCCCATGCGATATTCCGAACCTCTCCAAAACATCTTGTATTATGGGCTACTTCATGATAAAGACTGACCACTATGCTTTGCCCTCAAAGGCACAAGCCTAAAGCAGACATTCCATGTAAGCCAAAGCTAGCATATTATGCTGAAACAGCATCTTTAGACTTCACATGGGTATCACCTTTGTCCTCATTATTTTATTATTATTACTTAGAACCACTTGTACCTTTCAGCAGTCGATCATCATCGGGTTCAGTCCGGATGTGTGCCATGCGGCCCATCATGCGGAAGATCGCAGCATCTCTCCCCCAGTAGTCACTATAGAGTCCGGTAAATAATTCACTACCTGAAGACCAGATATTTAGGTAGGTAGTTAGTTAGTTAAAGAGTAAAGTCTCCAGCAAGTTCAACTCAATTCCTAGTGATATCATGATCATGTCTATGTAGTTTTCTTGACCACAGTATGGAAGTGACATTCTAAGTGGAAGTGGTACCCTTAGTGAGTGTGCATCTGTGTCTATATATGCCTCTAGTTGGTGTGTTATGGGCATTAATATTTTGGCTTGCAGGGTAAACTCTAGTTTAGAAATTCTAGCTCACAGGGTGTGATTGTGGGCCCATTTGTATCATACTGGCCAAAATATGCCAGAACTGAGATATCATTACCAGAGAATGCTGCTGCATGTGGAATGGTAATTAAGACTGGCAACCTACCTTCAGCTTCTCTTTCTTATTAAAAAGCATTATTTGAAAGCCTCAGTTGACCAAAACCATAATGGGTGGTAGAAATCAATATTTATGGGCCTACGGAAGAGTGTGACTTGGAATGTACAAAGATAAAGATATTAAATTAAGGAATATATAGTCTGTGAAGGAAAAGATGTAGTGAGGCTGAAAGAAGGTGGCCTGATTCTGCAGAGTGCAATTGATGCATATATGCAGGGAAATGAAGGTGTAAATGAGAGGTTAAAATATATGTTGGAAAGTATGAATTGGTGTCATCTAGGTTGTTGTCAATATGTAAGAAAGTATGAGGTGTACAAAGATAAACTGGAAGAAGAAATGCAAGAATTGTTCAGTAAACATCAATTGAACCCCAGGGAAGGAAGAGGGTGTGAGAAGGAAATTGAACATATTCTCACCTTGATTCTCTTTGATATAAGAGGGACAGAGGGAAACTCTGTCAGGCTTATAGCTTATAGCAATAAAGTAGAGTTCCAATAATCTTTGTGTTGTCTGTTCCCTGATCTGGCCTACCTCGAAGGGCTTTAGAAAGGAGGAATCCATAGGTTGGTAGTAGTTTTATATCATGCTCCAGTGAATGGAAATATTTACTCCAGCAAATAGTGATACTGGAAGGAGATGCATTAGGGTAATGAGCTTGGGAAAAACTGTGCAACATTTTTAATGAATGTGATCCAGGTGTAAAATTATTCTGCTAGGTGAAATGAACAGATAGGTGGGAATGAGACAAGAGAATTCAGAAAAATTGGCCAAGGACTTAGGAACAAATGAGAATGGTGACTGTTCAGTGAGTATTTGCTTAGAAAAAAGTATGTTTATTTCCAATATGTGGTCTAAGCATAAATACATTCATATGCACAATGACTAAATAATTACTATAAATTTAAAAGCATGATTTATTTCATCATGGTTTATGATGAAAGATGGAGAGAAAGCAAAAGGGTGAGCAGAAGCCCTAGTTTCTAGATAGGTGCTCTTCAGCAGCTAATTGAGAAATATATAAATGTTAGAAGGAAAGTTTACGTTCGTTGATTTAGAGAAAGTGAAAATGACTCAGTTATGGAATTGAGGGTTGGTTTCTGAATGCAATAAGGGTGCTATGTGATGTAAGTAAAAGATGCGTGGGAATTGAGAGACACCTACTAAACGGTTCAACATTGAACAGGTACCAAGACAAGGATGTGTGATGTCAACTTGATTATTTAATATACTTATAGAAAATGTATAAGGAGTGCTTGAAGTGATGAGTTGACTAGGAACATAAAATACATCACTGAAATAAAAATAACATTAAAACAGCAATAATGATGATACAGAAAGCCAGTTTGGTGCAGTGGTTAAGGCACCAGGCTAGAAACTGGGAGACCACGAGTTCTGGTCCTGCCAGCTGGGTGACCTTGGGCCAGTCCCTCCCTCTCAGCCCTAGGAAGAAGGTAAGAGCAAACCACTTCCAAAATCTTGCCAAGAAAACTGCAGGGACTAGTCCGGGCAGTTACCGGGAACCAACACTGACTCAAAGGCATGCGCGCGCGCACACACACACAACTCGATGATACAGTAATAGAAAGAGATTTTAATTAGGGACAATCTGACAGTGCTAGCTTGTGCTTGTTGTCAGGAGTTAGGCCAAGCTTCAAAGACATACTTTGTTTTAACAAAGGTCTATGTCACCCTTTGAAGTGGCTTCTTCCCCCTCCCTGTTTTCCAAAATGGAAGGAGTCCCATCACTTTGCATTACTTGAAACAGGTTTCTGACCATACACACCAGTTGTGGTGAAGATCTTGTTAGGGTGAACTGAATGTTACACATTAGCAATAAATAATAAATAAGACTGTTGTAGACAAGAGAGGTGGGAAGCTGACTAGCTAGTAACAGAAAGCAAACACTGGAATCTCCAAAGATGTAGAGAAGCTGCTCAGGAGTATACTCCCTAGTCTCTTCAGGACAGGGGTTGAAAACAAGAATAGACTGTAGGAGCAGTTCAGACCAAGGACTCCACATTCAGAATCAAATGTCAAACCCAGGAGGTAAACTGTTCTGGCATCAACAGTCTCAGTAACCCTCCTGGCCTCAGCTCTGGTGTATAAGCAGCTCTTTCCTACCGTAGGCTCTGGCTCCCTTTCTCCCCTCCTGAGGAAGCTGGCCAGCTTGAGGAACTAGCTCTCTTCTTGGTCTAGGCAATGAGTTGAATCCAGGCCAGGCAGTGTAGAAGGGTTGGGGAGTTTGTACAGGCCTGATAAGGGTAATCCAGCAAGTGCTTTCTCCTGAGGTTTCTCTTTGCAGTTCTCTGGCATCTGCTGTCTCCCTCAACCTGCTTCTCCAACCCTCACCTGCTCCCTCATCAGAACAGCCTTTCTGCTTAGCAGGACCTGACTCTGCAGATACAGGTAGTCCTTGACTTACGACCATTCATTTAATGACCATTCAAAGTTACAACAGCGCTGAAAAAAGTGACTTAAAACCAATCCTCACACTTATGACTGTTGCAGTGTCCCCATGGTCATGTGATCAGAATTCAGGCACGTGGTACCAGCATGTATTTACCACAGTTGCAGCATCCTGGGGTTATATGATCATCCCCCAGGGGGCTTCTGACAAGCAAAGTCCATGGGGGAATTCAGATTCACTTAACAACTGTGTGATTGCTTAATTCATTTAACAACCGTGGCAAAAAAGGTTGTAAATCAGGCACGACTCACTTAACAACCACATTGCTTAGTGATGGAAGTTCCAGTCCCAACTGTGGTTGTTGTCAAGGACTACCTGTACTCAAGGCTGGCATTTTCTCTTTATCACAAAGACATGTGCAACAAATGACTTCTATTCTTGGAGTGTAGCACTTCAGTTGTATACCATAATGGTCTTCTGACAACAAAGCTGTCCGCGCATGTAGAAATCTAGGCTATCACAAAGGAGTCAGCATATACTTCTATTTTTTATGTGGAGAGCGGTTTTATTTTCTCCTAACATAGAACAGCAATCAAGCCTAACTTGTAATTCTAAGTATTACAAATGTGGAAAAGCCTGCTTGATTTTGATGTATATATGCTATGAGGTTAAAACAAATATATGATATATAATAGTGGGACAAAATTTATGAGTTATTCTACAAATTACTAGAGCTGTAGCAGAGATTCAGTAACCTAACATTAGGCACTACATTTCCACTAGCATAAGCTAAAGGCAATTAGGTTTCTAAGTCATTGCTGCATTTCTTAAAATATATACAGTAGGTATCAGGGGAATCAAAGAAATCACATATATTTACCACTAGATGGCAGCCAATCCACAAAATAGTGGAAAGCAACATATACATATAAAAATAATGGTAAACTCTCAGAATATTTTCTTCCTTTTTAAAACTCAAAAGAAAACAAACATATTTTCTAATTTAAATATCACAACTAAAATGATAACTATTATTATTTTGATAATTAGTGTATTTTCTAAAGGATTTAAAATTTTAACTTGATAAGGATGGATTTAATTTTGTTTAAATTAATTTGAAAGTAATTATGCTATTATTTTAAATAATGACTTGAATAATTTAAACAATCTACCAGATAGGCTCAGAAATCTTTCCTGGTTCCAGCTGCAAATGTGAAATGATTTCTTAGGCTTTGATTAATCCTGAATAAATATTGATTTCAAACTCATGTGGCACTGAAGCTGAGTAAAACATTAGCACACAAAATCAGCTTTAGCAGCCAGTAGTGAAGTGCTACTTCATGGCAGAGTCCACAAAATAATTATGTAATCACATTCCCTAATTCTCAGCTTTAGGAGATAAAACCGTGACATCTACAGAAATACAGACATGCAGCGGTGTGTGTGTGTGTGTGTGTAGCCTTATGACCCAGATTGTTCAGCCTGGCTCTTCTAAAGTTACAGGCAGGGCTCTAACCATTGGACTCCCCCGGGCTAGCTTTTTATGATATCTGAAAGTAGGCCTACGTAAGAGAAAACCTTTGATTTCTATAAGAGCACTAAGCTTCTCTCTTTAGGTCATGAAACAGCTGTGTCTTTCCTAGGCTTCCACAGCAGATTCAGATATGGCTTGTCATAGCTTCAGTTTCTGAAACAGCATTTTACAGTGGGGCAAAAAAGTATTTAGTCAGCCACCAATTGTGCAAGTTCTCCCACTT